TCACAAGTCCACTGATTTAGTATTAAAAAAAAAGTAAGTGATTTATTCCAATTTTGTTAAATATCCTCCTTTAATACCATTGATTATAAAGCTTTCTTATTAAAATCTGTTCTTCCCATTAATAAGAAACTACTTAGGCAACATCATCATTCAGGGTACATTTAACCAGACCTATTTATATGAAGCCTCTCTTCCTCATTCTCAAGTGTTTAAAGAGTAATGCATTTCAGAAATAAACTACCTGTTCAGAAAAGGAAATACATACTGGTTAAGTGATCGTTAGAAGCAGGAATTAGACCATGGTTCCTCACTAGTAACTGGTGTTTCTATTCCTTCTGAGACTGTATTTCATGTCATTTCACTGTATTTTCTGTGTCTTGGTTATCTGTCACCACTCTTCCCTCAAAGTACCCCCAACTTTTGCCATTGTAGGAAAAAAAGTCTAGATCATTTTATACTCCCCTATCAACCATTCCTCAGGGAAGAGTTTCATTGCAGTTTCTTAACCATCTGATTGGTGGGGCTGCTCTTGTTACTGGAGGACACTAGAGAGCATAACTGCTTCCAATATCTTCTGGTGCAGAGAAAGACTAACTCTCACTCTAAATTAGCAAGTATCAGATCCATAAATCCAGTATCATGTTTTACTACTTACAAATTAGTGCTATCAAATAGATTGCATTACATTTATTCTCAGGAATTAGAAAATATATACACCCCACTAACAGTACTATAAAAAATTACTTCTCATAAAGGCAATTAAGTTCAAGATACTCTCCTTTACCTACAAGGAAAAAACAAGGGTAACTAAAATATTTATTTGGAGTATATCTTATCCTCACACATACAAGCACATTCGTTTTCTAAAAAGTAAATCAATGTTCAGCCTATGATTTAGTTCACGCAACATTTTAAACAATGTCAGTGTGAATAAAAAAGGCCATATTCCCACTCATACAACTCTTGGTTTTGGCAATTGCAAACAGTTTTGGAGCAGCCATCTTTCTGGAAATCTATGATAATTTCCTTAATATATATTAGTCATCAACATGGTACTATGATGAATGAATCAACATCAGTTTTTATAGTAAATAATATGTCACTCACACATGGGATTTTACACTTTGATTGCAAAATCCTTGGTAAGAGTACTTAAATACTTAGATAGGCATAGGATCTTATCTAGTGTGTGATTTAAACATCAACTATAAACCTGGAAGGGCAAAATTACCTCCACAATATAGATAAAGAAAAATAAGCTCCCAAGAAATATAGATTTAAGTAAGGAGCTTTTTTAAAAATTGATTTGAGAGAGAGAGGGGGCGGGAGAGGAGAGAGAAAAACATCAATTTGTTGCTCCACTTTATTTATGCATTCACTGGTTGATTCTTCTATATGCCCTGACCAGAGATTGAACCCACAACCCTGGCATATAGGGAAGAAGTTCCAACCAACTGAACTACCTGGCTAGGGCAAGGAGCTTTTATTTTTAAAGGCAAAATGCAGTAAGACTTTTAGAACTCTAAGTGTCTAGAGTGACAGTTCTGCCTCCTGATACACATCTATGTGTATGTACAATACACATATATCTCATATATATGTATAACTATATAAACAAAACTTGTATTTATAGTACATACCAGGACACATAATAGGACACCTTTCATAATTTATAATACTTTATCAGTAATAATTAGCAAACTGCACAAATAAAACCATGAATAAGATATAGAGATATTTGCCACTAAGTGATCCTTACAATCAGGTTTTCAACAGTCTTTTGGTAGCAGTTGACAGTCCACAACTGTAACTATTCATGAGTTCCTGGAATATGGCCTACAGAGTTCACATTGGTCAGCTCTCTATAGGAAATTATCCGTACTGCATTCGTTTTCAAAAAGAGACAGTAACGTTTTGTACCTCCCCCATTTACCAAAAAGGAGTCTGTTAAGTGTGGAGGTAAACAAATTTTGTAATGTTCACTGTAAAAGTGGCTACGTATTTTTCTATGAGCTATATTTTCAACCATTGCTATACCCTCAGTTTAGACAAAATCAATTTAATGAATTTCAACAACTGACCATATGCCTAATGAGAAAAGCTAAAATATATAATACATTAACTTTATGGTACTTAATAATATATGGCCATAAAAGACAGAAAACTGTACTTGAATAATTAAAATAAAATAAAAATAATATATGGCCAATGGACAATATTAAACAAAAACTTTAAGACATTTTCTTACTTTCTATATACAACTATCAGCCCTTTTAAAGGTATGATAATATTATGATGCATTACTATAACGTCTGATTCTTTAAAATAAATGGTCTCAAAATGAGCCAATATAGAACCTTATATTAGATAATGGAACCAAATTCACAAGACATTTTTCAATATGTCAACCTAATGTTACTCTTCCATTTTCCTTTTCTCAACATTTTTAAAAAAGCAAACACTTCAGTTTAGGATTGGAAATTTGTTTCAAGCTGCTCATCAATTTAAGTCATAATTACTCAAGATTTCTCACTCCAAATGTTTTATTTTACATTTGAATGATTGTAAATAAAATTGTATGCAACCTATATAATTTTATTAACCAGTCATTGCAATAAAGTCAATAAAAATATTTTAAAACTTTATGCAAATTTTAATTTAATAAAATTATATAATTTTAATTGTTAGTACTGTCACCTCAAATGTATTCAACTCAGTAATTTAAACATACACCTGGAAAAACTGTGTTATTTAATATCAAGCATACAACTTTAAAATGACCTCTTTTACAAAGGCTTTCCATATATTTAAAAGAAAGAAAATAATTTCCACTTAATGGATTTATTCCTTCACCAGGTATGTTGGTCCAGTGACAAAGTAGTCAAATGTGTAAGATTACATCTTGGAAACTAGCATGTTAAATTAAAAATGAAAGACTCTAACCAAAATTAGAAATGCACTTTTGATAAGCAACAGAGATTTTAAAAGATTAGGTACAGGAGGGTAGTGCTACATTTAAAATAGGACTGCACACACATCAAAATTCCTACACTGGATTAACTATTGCAATTGATAACAACTCTGATACATTAGTTCAAACATTCACATGTTTAGAAGTAAGACTGAGATTATCAACTCTTTTAATAAAGAAAGGAGAAATAAATGCATCTTTGAAGTATACCCTAAAGAATACACCCCTGAGTTTCTATTTGTCAACAGGTCTTTCTGCTTCATGTAATATCATCATATTAAAGTTATGGGGAATGTAATTTACATATGCTATAAACTGAGAGAGATGTGAAGAGAGAAAATACATTCTTCACTCACAGATGTGCATAGGTATTGGGAGTGGGTTGGAAAACCAGTTATCATTTCTTTAAGAAATATGGGGGCATGGTACAACAGAACAGAGAGGTAAGCAAATGCTTATTTACCAACCCATCAGAAAAAAATGGCTTCTGACAGCTAGAAAAGGGAAGATCACCTGTTGACTATTACCAAAGGCGAACAATTAAACTCAAACTGAATTTTAGGTGTGCACCTATGTGTGAGAAGTGAAACATGGGAGCAAAAGAGGATTTTTTCTAAGTGGCTTGTGTAATCAGTTGCTTTACTCAGTAGTCCCATCAATATAAAATTTCTCAATTAACTAGCTAGCTGAGCTCACTTATGGACACGTGGTAGTCTCTAAGAGTTTTCAAATGGAAGAAAGACTCCCCATAAGCAAGTCACCTACAAAAAAAGATGAACTTTGAATTACAAAAAGCAGAGAAGATGAATTTCAGTGAGCATTTTTCAAACCAACAGAAGTATACAAAATACAAGGCTAAACAAATGAAAAGTTAGGAAAAGAATGTGAAGGAACCCAGAAGCATAAGAAAAAGCTTTAACAGATCTCATTGCATTCTACATACCAACTGTTCTAGAAATTCATAAAAACAGCTTTGATCTATTAACATCTAAAATCAACCTCAGAAAACAAAAACCCCAGCAAATAAATGTCTCCCTGTGAAGTATCTGAAACTTGCTCTGTAATCTTTAGATGTAATTTTAAAGCTTTGTAGCAAATCAGTTTTTCAAATTTATGCCACATTTTCATGTGACATTTCCTTAAAACCATTTAAAATCATTAAACCACAAACAAACATCAACTGTAGAACTGATATGGCAAATAAACCAATTTTCACTTACACCACTAAAAAAGCTTCCCTTAAGTAGAGGGAGCCAACTGCTGACATTGTACCCTTTTACTATAAAACTACTCTAATTTCAAGAACTATACATTTTACTGCTGTCAAAGAGTTTCTTATACCTTTCTTTCCCATAGTAAAAAGGCTGATGGAAGATAAGAGCATCTTCAGATACACTTCTGCTTAAAAAAAAAATCTTAACAGAAGTCACTGGGAGGCCTCCTCACTTTCTATTCTCTTTCATTAAAAGGCTGAATGAAGATATGGTCTTCAAAGCCAGATTTGACATTTCACCATTATCTCTCCAGCCTTTCCAGATACACTGGAGGAGATAGATACCTTATGTGTAAGGTATCTTTCTTTACTAGAGGGCCTTCTGGTTTTCCAGAATGGGAAACTGCTAATTGTCTCAAAACTCACACTGACAAATGTCTGCCATAAGTGCTCAAGTGTGATTGACATCTAAGAAAGGGACAATCCTATGGGGCATAACCTACCAGCTACCACCTCTAAATTGGGAGGATTAAGATAAAAATTAATCATTTTGAAATAAACAATGTGGCCTCCCTATCCACTTTAGTCCTTTTAAGCAACTATGACAAGACTAATTCTCATTACACACTTTCCCACCAGCAATCTAAAACTAACATTTTTTCAAGAACTGATAAATCAACTTTACTAAATACAAAATGTTACATTTAAAACTGCAAAGGGCCTCAAATTGAAAAAAGAACTCTCCCAAAGTTGCATCCCAAACTACAGTGCTTGGCCAAATATTCCTATAAAATATTTAAAATAAAATTTCCATACCTGTCTTCATCACCATCAACAGGAATAGCTATGCTGAATACAGAGGTGGCCAGACTGTTCATAGGTGTTAACTGAAGGGGGTTTGCCAGGGCATCTGCAACAGGAGGCTTCACAACAGGCTTATTTTCAGCAATGAGAGAAAGTGGTGGTTGAGGTAGGGGTTCTGATTTTCTTCTAGTATCGTCAACTTGCCCGACTAAAGGCTGGGTCTGAGTCTGAAACTGGCTTAAGTCAGACTGTGGTAGACTTGGTGCACTTTGTGTACCTTGCGCTAAGGACAGCCCTTGCTGGATTATGCTGCCGCTCCTGCTGACTGGAGTATGGCTGCTCAGCTGCTGCGACTGGACCAGGGGCGCGGGTACATTTGGCATAGTAACAGATGTGGTAGACACACTAGGCACGCTTGGAGCGGGCACAGTGGCAGGCACGTTTGAAACTCCGGGCACCATGGCGTGAGGGCCACTAGGCCCGGCAGACGGCGCACCGCTGCCTCCCATATGAGGCGGAGGCGCGGACTGGGGCAGCCCGGCCCCGGGAGGAACCAGGCCCGGTTGCACCACGCCTCCTAGAGCGGCGGGGGGAACTCCAGCTGGCTGACAAGGTGCGGCCTGTCCACCTGGCGCGGGTCCCGGACCCGGAGCCACGGCTTCACTAGGCAGGGAAGAGGAGCTCAAGATCTGCGCAGCCCCCGAGGAGGCATTCTGGCCAGTGCCCACCGGAAGGTTGGCCGCCGCGGCGGGGCTCGCTCCGGCTGCGCCGGTGGCGGACGGCTGTGCAGGGCTCGGCGGTTGCAGGCCGGCCACGTGCTGCTGCAGGTACTCACTCGGACCGGATGGCTGGACCGGCAACAAATGCCCCGGCGGATTCTGAGGCTGAGGATACGCAAACTGCTGGGGCTGCTGCGTCGCAGAAGCGCTGGAGGCCGGGCCAGGCTGCGGAGGCAGGGACATGGCGGGCTGCGCAAGGGTTACATTCTGTCCATTGGTTCCCTGGGGTTGGCAGGACTGCGGGGCTGCCATCACTTGCGGCGGACCGGCCACAGCTCCCGGGAACCGCGGCATCGGAGCCGACCCTGGAGCCACAGCCCCACCTACGGGCGGCGGCAGCGAGGCCGGAGTGGGCAGGCTCATTTTCTCCGACGGGGGTAGCTGTGACACAGCAGTCAAGGAGCTGTCAGTTCCCGAGTCGGGCCCATGCGCCCCCTGCATGGAGGCTACTACCACCACCACCGACCCTCCGGTGGCGCCCAGGCCGCTGTCCCGCTCCGCAGTCTGGTCAAAAGTATTGCTGTGTCTAATGCAATCCCCGGACCTGGTCAGGACGCTGCTGTCGGAATCCCGCTCGTAATATTCCATACACGTCCATCGACCGCGTCTATAGGGCTCCCCGCTCCCGTGGTCCAGCTTGATCACGCGAAAACGGGAACTACAAGTGGTGGGGGGCTGCGATGGGGCTGCAGTCCCTGGCCCCGCAGATGAACCCGAGGCCGGAGAGGCTCCAGGTGCCCCCGAAGAGGGGACTGAGGTGGCAGCCGCCGCCAGAGTATTGGCCAGCGCCCCAGCCACGCTCCGGGCCGAAACGGCTCCCCCTCCGTTGGCGGGGGCTGCCACCGCGGCCGCCAACTGCCCGTCCAGGAGGAGGTTTGGGGAGACTGTCCCGGGGGTCTCCGCATCCCCAACATTGTTGAGTGTCTCTTCGGAGGAGCTACGCTCGCAGACCTCCTCAGGGCCATAATCCGTGGCCCGAGACACGTCGAATATCTCAGAAGAGACATCCTCGGTGCGTGACTCGTCCGGGTCGTCCAGGCTCTCGGTGTCCTCGGTGATGCTAGTGGCCACCTGGGCTGTCGTGACACTGGTGATCTGGAAGCAGCTCTTCTTCTTGGCCGGCATCTTGGACATGGTGAGGAAGGCTGGAGGGCAGAGAGGCACTCCGGCTCCTGTGTGAACTTGCTGGAAACCAGGAAGGGCAGAGCACGGGCCCCCAAACACAAAGTCCAATTCCGCGTCGGGGTCTGAGGCCCGCCGCTGGGAGAGTCAAGGGCTGATCCGGGCGCCCGCCGCTCCGTGAGACATCCTTTTCACCGTTTCCTTCTGTGTCGGTCTCTTCAGCTCTGCCCCCGTCTCACTCGCGCGGCGTCCGCTCCTCCTCCTCCTTTTTCGCCTCCCGCAGCGGCGGCGCCTCAATTCAATCCCCTCAGTGGAGGCTGGAGAGCAATCCCAGGGGCGGTCCAGCTGCTTCCTTCTCCCGTCCCCGGGCCGCCGTGGTCAGTCCAGCTCGGCGCTCCGCGCGGTCAGCAGGCCTTGGCTGGGGGTGGGAGTGGGAGGGCGCAAGGGGAGGAGGAGGCGGCGGCGGCGGCGGCGGCGTGAGGGGCGGTGCTGCCCCACTCGGTCTCCTCAGGCTGGTGCGGGCGTCGGCTCCGGGCTCTCGGACGCTGAAAGGAGTGGCGGGTCCGGAGCCGGGGTTTTCTGATTCAGCCAACAGGCGCGGACTGGGGCTGGCAGAAGGTCCGCGGGCAGGCGGCCCTCCCTCCCCGGCACTAGCTGAAGCTCTGCCCCAGGGACATGTCGACCGTCTCTGGCGGAAACCGCTCCAGGGGAGGGAGGAGAAAGCCGGCTCGGTCCTCCCCTTACAGGGGGAGCCACCCCCGCGGGCGGCGGCGGCGGCACTCCCGGCCTCCCCTCTCAGCTCGTGAAAGAGTGAGGGGCGGCGGCCGGCGAGCGGAGGCGCTCCGGTTGTGTACGGTAGTGGCTGTAGCTTCTTCGGCTCTTCCTCCGTATGCCCGGTCCGCAGACCCTGAAGAAACTGAAATTCAAACTGCTGAAGCGGCGGCTGCAGCTCCCTCCCTTCGGCCAAGATGGGGCTGAAATGGCCGCGCCAAGGATGCTGGGAGGAGCAGCAGTCCCGCGGCCGCCGCTGCTGTCGACTCAAATGCCGCCGCTGCCGCAGCCACCGCCAGCGCCGCAGCCGCCGCCGTTCCGCGACGCACCGGCGTCGTGACGTCACTACCCCGCCCCTCCGGTTTCCTGCAGTTTCGCGTGGAGCCTAGAGGGGGAGGCAGTGGGCGTGGCTAGAGGTTGAAAAGGGAGCGTTTTTTTATTTAAATTTTTTAATTTAAATTTTGCGCTGTAGTTTTTTGAAGGGTCGAAGAGCTAATGGTTGTTAAATACCAAGCCTAGAGAAGCTTGCAAATACACCAATGTTTTTATATCTGTCTGTTCCGAGACAGTGGAACACTGGAGGTCGTGTGCTGTATCTAATGTTTAGCGAAAGCTTAGTGAAACAGGGGCGATAGAAATAGGGTCTGGGGGGATTTAGCTAGGATAAAGAGGGAGACGGTTGGAAAATTCAAGTCCCCTAACAAAATCTTTCCTGAAAGTGCATGTTGACCACTGTAATCAGAGAAGTGAAATGGTGAAATGTTGAGAGAAATGGGGATGATTAACCAAGAATAGCATGCCAAATTGAGTCAGAAGAATGATCTTGCAGCCAGAAATTCTGTCTCCAGCAATGGCATCAGGAGATGGTTACTTGCCCAGGGTGAAGTCAGTTTTATGAAAGATTAGAGGTTACCAACATATTCCTAGTTTTTTTTTTGTATTTGCTGTGATTCCAGCATCCAAGAGTTCATTTAAAGTCTTGAGACTTTTCACTTTCCCCAGGAAATCAGCTTATGGGATCCATAAATGCAGAACCTACTGAGTTAAACAGTTGCCGTTCTTTCCTTTGTTTATTTTAAAACTCTTAGTTGGAGCCAGAGTGTTATACGGTTTGGACTGGGCCATGAAAACCAGAACAATTCAGCAAGCACCCTTTCCAGTCCCAGTATAGAGAGCAGCTATGAAAGTACTGGCAAATTTATTATCTTTTAGTTACTTTCTGGCAAAAGAAAATGGTAAGGTCATTCCTTTAAATTTTTTTTTTTTTTTTAAATGAGGAAGGAGGCTCTTGAACTTTGACATTCTAATACATCTTTTAGGTCAAGTTTAAGATGTCTTGCTGGGAATCAAAATGTCATTAATATTACAGCTTTAGCAGTCATATGATCACTTACATAAATCAGTTAGTCATTATATTCAGTTCTTTAATCTTTGAAGAATAGAAATAGTTTTTATCCCAAAGGAATTTTTTTGCTATGAGAATGTTTCATTTATTTTTTTTAACTGTATTGTTATTGAAGGATGTTTTGATAATTAAAATTGACAGAGAATATTTTAGGTCCTTAATCATAATTAATATACAGAGATACGTGTTTCAACCTTAGTAGAAACCAAGTCTTCCAAACTCAAGTGCCTCAGGCCGGGATGTGAAATATGACCACATAATATTCCTGTTTCTTAAGGGGGTAGGAGAATAAAGGAACAAAGTGTAACATTATGCTCCTATTATGGCAGAGATAGCTAATGGAATGTTTTAGGCAGTTTTTCATCAATAAATTAGATCAACTGGTTAAGCCCGGTATGAACTTATCAAAGTTTAATGTAATTTTGATTGCTTTAACAGATTGTTAAAAGTGGTGATAAATGCATGATGTTGAGCTTTCAGCTTTTGGAAAAGTAAGTTTCATATGCCTACTTGTCCCATTACATTCTTATTACATTAAGTTCTTTATTACTTGTTATGGTACTCTTAATGAACATGTAAAAGATTTATTATGAAATTAAGATGATATAATTTAGAAGAGATCATCAGTAAGTTTTTGGTGAGGATGGGGTTAAAAATGTTAAAAGACAGCTTAGCAAAAAGTAAGATTTATGAAGTTAAATGTTTTATTTATATGCTAAAGGATTTGTGTGTATTTAATAAAATAGTTCTCGTAAAAGTAAGTTTTCCAAGCATTTAAAAGTCCTAGTTTCTTTTATACATTTGCCCTTTAAAAATGTAAAGAACTTATTGCATCAAACTCCTATGAAGAATGATAAGAATTTTGATTGTTGCAAATAGATTTGAAGTCATTTTACAGAGGACAAAAAAATTATATGACTATCAAACAACAAAAAGGTATGTGATTCATGGTTGGTCCACAAAGGATTAAAAGCCTTCACATAACTAATTAAAATGGTAGAAAGTAGGACTTATGTGTAGATATGTATGTTCTGTATGTAGAGAGTTGATAGTCAGTAATCATGAGGAAATCCCTGGAGTCGCAGACCTCAAGACCAGGAGTCTTTTTTTTTTTTTTTTTTTTATTAATCATTGTTCATATACAGTTTTCTCCTTTTTACTCCCAATCCATTTAAAAGTCCTAGTTTCTTTTATACATTTGCCCTTTAAAAATGTAAAGAACTTATTGCATCAAACTCCTATGAAGAATGATAAGAATTTTGATTGTTGCAAATAGATTTGAAGTCATTTTACAGAGGACAAAAAAATTATATGACTATCAAACAACAAAAAGGTATGTGATTCATGGTTGGTCCACAAAGGATTAAAAGCCTTCACATAACTAATTAAAATGGTAGAAAGTAGGACTTATGTGTAGATATGTATGTTCTGTATGTAGAGAGTTGATAGTCAGTAATCATGAGGAAATCCCTGGAGTCGCAGACCTCAAGACCAGGAGTCTTTTTTTTTTTTTTTTTTTTTATTAATCATTGTTCATATACAGTTTTCTCCTTTTTACTCCCAATCCAGTTCCCCCTCCCACCCGCCCCCCCTTCCCTCCCATTACCACCCTCCCCTTAGTCTATGACCATGTGTCCTTTAAGTTTGTTCCTGTGAACCCTTCCCACTGTCCCCTTAAATTCCCTCTTCTCTCCCCTCCGGTCACCATCAGCCTGTCCTCTATTTCAGTGTCTTTGGTTACATTTTGCTTGTTTCTTTGTTTTGTTATTTAGGTTCCTGTTAAAGGTGAGATCATATGGTATTTGTCTTTCACTGCCTGGCTTGTTTCGCTTAGCATAATGTTTTCCAGCTCCATCCACGCTGTTGCATAGGGTAGGAGCTCCTTCTTTCTTTCTGCTGCATAGAATTCCATCGTGTAAATGTACCATAGTTTTTTGATCCATTCATTTACTGATGGGCATCTAGGTTGCTTCCAGCATCTAGCTATTGTAAATTGTGCTGCTATGAACATTGGGATGCATAGGTTCTTTTGAATTGGTGTTTTAGTATTCTTAGGATAGAGTCCCAGTAGTGGAATTGCAGGGTCAAAAGGCAGATCCATTTTTAGTTTTCTGAGGAAGTTCCATATTGCTTTCCACAGTGGTTGTACCAGTCTGCAGTCCCACCAACAGTGCACTAGGGTCCCCTTTTCTCCACAACCTCTCCAACACTTGTTGTTTGTTGCTTTGTTTATGATGGCCATTCTGTCTGGTGTGAAGTGGTATCTCATTGTGGTTTTAATTTGCATCTCTCTGATAGCTAGCGATATTGAACATCGTTTCATGTGTCTTTGGATCCTCTGTATGTCCTCCTTGGGGAAGTGTCTATTCAAGTCCTTTGCCCACTTTTTTAATTGGATTCCTTGTCTTCTTAGAGTACAGTCGTGTAAGTTCTCTATGTATTTTGGAGATTAGACCCTTGTCTGAGGTGTCATTGGCAAATATGTTTTCCCATACAGTTGGTTCTCTTTTTAATTTTCATACTGTTTTCTTTAGCTGTGCAGAAGCTTTTAATTTTGATGAGGTCCCATTTGTTTATTCTTTCCTTTATGTCCCTTGCTCTAGGGGACACGTCATTAAAAAAGTCTCTTCGTGAAATATCTGAGATTTTCTTACCTACGTTCTCCTCTAGGACTTTAATGGTGTCATGTTTTATATTTAAGTCTTTTATCCACCTTGAATTTATTTTTTGTATATGGTGTAAGTTGGTGCTCAAGTTTCATTTTTTTTGCACGTGGCTGTCCAGTTCTCCCAACACCATTTGTTGAAGAGGCTATTTTTATTCCATTTTATATTGCTGCCTCCT